GGGGGGTGGATGGATTTGAACCTGGAGTCCAGATCATTTCTACCTGAGCTACACGGTGCCATGAGCCTGCAGCATCATGAGTTTTCCAGAACCCAAAGCTGTCTCCTCCCTATCCCCACACCCCGATCTGCTCTTGTTCCCATGCAAATAGGCCTCAGGTAACAACGCCCAGGACCTGGTGCCTGGGCCTGGCTGGATAATTCCCAGGGACCCCGGCACCTTGCAGTGAAAGGAGATGAGATGGGTTGGGGGGCAGGGGGGAGATGCTGCAATTCACCGGCCCTTGGGCTGTGCTGGGAAGGATGCGACGGCAGCAGGGAGAGTGAGGTGGAGACGGATAAATAATTCAGGGGGGCAGGGAACAGTGGAAAGAGATGGGAAAGCGGAAAATTGTAGCTAAGCAGAAGTGGGGGGGGATGATGTCAACGGCACTGGGATCGAAGGCGGCCACGCAGCCAGGGCCAGGCTGGTGGGGATCGGAGGAGAGAGCCAGGAGGGGTGTTTCAGGGCGCCAGGAAAATGGGCCAGCAACGTGGATGAGTATTTGCCATCGGGGGTCCCAGCGCTGCAGTTAGGGGCCTGGGTAGCCTTGCCTTCCCCATGCCTCGGTTTCCCCATTGAAGTCATGAGAGCTGGGGGTCACCCCATGAGCAGCCAGGCCCTTGGATCCACTCCAGAGTCAGGGCTGTGCAAATGAGCAGGGTCTGACCCCTGATGGGGCTGGATGGACCCTGTGGGGGGACCGTGCACTGGCTGCAGTGCACGGAGGAGGCCAGGCGCAGACCTGGCCCCGGGGCCGGCGCGGTTAATAAGTGATGGCAGTAATCGCCCAGCCATAGCCTGTTTGCTCCCAAAAGCGCTGGGCGCTGGGAAAACGACCTGCTGTGGCAGGTGCTGCCATGGTGCCCACTGCTGTGCCTGGCGCTGTGCCCGAAAGGCAGGGAGGGGGGCACCATGGACCACAGCTAGGGCAAAGGGGATCAGGTGCTGCCATGCACCCCTGACTGGGTCCTGGGCTCTGCACCCCTGCAGATGGAGCGCTAAGGAGCCCAACTTGGGTGCCAGGGCAGCTGTGCCCACCCTGCTGCACCCCGGGGCCAAGCCAGGCTCGAGTGCAAGGGATCTTGGGGCTACAGGCTCACAGGAAGGCATGTAGCCTGCTCTGGGGGCTGGTGGGAATGGCTTTTTATTTAACATAAATAAATACATTCTTATTCCAAGCCAAATCGCCCAAATCAAGTCCAAATCCTTGGATCAGTCCAGAACCATAAGTGGCCCTACAACTGAAACATCCTTCACCCCAGCCAGGGGCTTCAGATGTTTCCAAATCCTTTGCCAGGCATCCTATGTGCAGGCCCAAGCCTGGAGGCTTGGGGTTCAGATGCCCCCAAGTTTTGCCTGCCCTCAGCCATACGGCCACAGGAGCAAGCTAGGGAGGAGCCTCCCATTTCCATAAAGTGGTCGTTAAGCCCCAACATCTTGGCAGGCACTAAAACATGCCAGAAGAACAGTTATCCCTGGGAACACTTAAGGAAAACTGCTTTCATGGACCCAGATACATGGTGTTTCCCCTGCCAGGGATGGCACCTGGGGCGGGGGCGTGAAAGGGAAATGCAGATCAAACTCTAGTTTCTTAGGCTGATGCCAGGTGAGACCCCCTGAGCCCCCCACACCCCCTGGAGAACTTGCTCCTTCCCTTCCCAGGTGCATGGCACAGTTGGGACCCCATGGCCCCTGTCTGTCCCCGCTGACCTCTCCCCGGCCGGCTGGTCCGTGCGGGGCTGGCAGAGCCCTCCCTGCCTCAGCCTGCAGCATGTTTGGGCTCAAAGCCAAGTTCATCATGTTGATTCCTGGTGTTTACAGTAAATTCCCCTCTGGGTAAGAGGCTGCCCTGGGAGCTTGGTGCTGCAGACAGCTCAGGCTGGGGGTTGCCCTGGGTGGGGTGTGGCCTGGTATCTCTTCTACCCTGTACCCACATGCATCAGGACCTAGCAGCCCAGCTCTGCCAGGGCTCATTGGAGGAAAGAAAGTGCCTTTAAAATTACCCCTCCAAGAGCTTTTGCAGCTAGCAAGGGCCCTGGAGGCTCAGCTCTCCCATAGTGCAGTGCTCTGCATGGCCCCTGGGCATGCAGTCCTGGCTGCTGTCTGTCCTGAGGCTAGCTGGGGAATGGCAGTGTGTTGTACCAGCATCTCTGCCAGCCTCTGCACCAGTCTGGATGCTGCATGGGTCAGCACCTGGTGCGGAGCTGGATCCTACTGGGGCCCCCAGCCCAGTGCGCTGGCCAGCAGAGCAGCAATGTACCCCAAGGATGAAAGCAAGGTGCATGTTTTCTTTCCATGCATGCCCGCAGGGGCTGCAGTCTTGGCCAGGCTTTGCCCTCCTGAGCCCTTGTGACACTGTTGTCTAAAACCCTGGGCCAATGTGCCAGGGAAGCTGCCAGGAACATGTTATCTTTGTGCACGGTGCCGGCTTCGCATGCACGCCGATGTTGCAACGCTGGCATGGCTGTGGGAGGCTATGAGAGTCCCTGCGTAAACAGAGGCCACATGCACCAGACAGGGGCTTGGGGGCCGTCAAGTGCCAGCAGGGGCTGCCAGGTGAGGTCTGGCAGCGTTGGAAGGCGGGGGTGCATGCAAGGCAGCTCTGGGGGTGATATCCAGGATGTGGCTGGGAAGGGGTCCAGCGAAAGCTTTTCCATCCACAAAATGATGTTTTGGGGCGTCTTGGAGGGCTGATTTTTTCAGTGTCAGATGCCCTGGTTGTTGGCAGCTTCTATCTCCTCCATGAAACAGCTTTGGGATGACCCCAGCAAGGTCCTATCCTAGGCTGTGTCTGCCCCCCATGGTGGCTGAGTAGCCCCTGGCCCTGGAGGCATTTACCCTTCTAGCTTCCTAGTGCTGGAGCCTGCAAGCGGGAGAAGAGCATGGTCAGATCTTGTTCACTTATGAAGAGCAGGTCTGATCCTGCCTCAAGCAGAGGTTGGACTAGATGTGACCCTGGGAGGTCCCTGCCAACCCCACAACTCTGTGACTTCTCTGCCCTGGTATGAAAGAGGAGACTGGGTGAGGTGGACCTACGGCCTGACTCTGTCCTTGGCAATTCTGTTCTGAGCTAAGGGACTTGGCCAAGGCCTCCTGGCTCATCGGTGGCAGGGTGTCCCAGGCCCTCACCCCCTGTTTCTTGCAGTCTGCAGCAGCATGGACATCCGGAACGACGCCTCACAGCTGCGGAAGCTGGAGAACTGCACCATCGTGGAGGGCAACCTGCAGATCCTGCTCATGTTCACCACAGGCGCTGAGGACTTCCGGGGCCTGAGCTTCCCGCGCCTGGTCATGGTCACCGAGTACCTGCTGCTTTTCCGCGTCTACGGGCTGGAGAGTCTGCGTGACCTCTTCCCTAACCTCTCGGTCATCCGTGGCACCAGCCTCTTCTTCAACTACGCCCTGGTCATCTTCGAGATGCCGCACCTGCGTGACATCGGCCTCCACAGACTCACCCACGTGCTGCGTGGCTCCGTGCGCATTGAGCGCAACCAGGAGCTCTGCCACCTCTCCACCCTGGACTGGGGGCTGCTGCTGCCTGAGGCAGCCCTGGAGAACAACTACATTGTGGGGAACAAGCTGGCTGAGGAGTGTGCTGATGTCTGCCCTGGCATCCTGGATGTGGAGAAGCCCTGTGCCCAGACCAGTGTCCATGGGCAGCTGGACTATCGCTGCTGGACCTCCAGTTACTGCCAGAGGGGTGAGGAGCTGGGCGCCAGGCGGGCATTGTAAGCTGAGCAGGGTGGGCCCAGGTGGGCGCTGCAAGTTGAGCAAGGTTGACTGGGGAGGGGAGACCCAGGCAATGGAGGGGGAAAGCACGGGGGCTGTAGAGAAGGGCTAAGGCTGTGTTTTCCCTGGGGGCATGGCACTGTACCATAGGAGAACACAGCCCCTCAAAGACAGGGGGTGCGTTGCAGCCAGGGGAAATCCTAGCTTTTATTTTTAATGCTTGGAGACATTCCCTCAGGCATTTCTAACCCAATAATAGGGGCCAGAGAGGTTATTGAAGAGGGGATGGAGGGAGATCTGAGTCAGCGTGGTCTCTATATTGCATCCAGTCCTGCCGCTGTCAGAGATGGGCCTATTGGATGGGCCAAGGGGCTCTGTCAGAGACAGGATCCCAAGCTAGATGGACCATGGGTTTGACCCGCTCTGATGCTGCTCATGTTCAGCTTTTCTAAACCTTTCCAATGGTTTAACCAGCCTGCAGAGGGGAGATGAGCCACCCCAGAGGTGGCTGCACTTCTGCAGCCCTGCTGTTAGAAACAGGCCCAGGAAAGTGGGACTCATGGGTGAGGTGGTCTGAGGTGTGTACGTGTGTCATGGACCATGCGATTCTGCTACGTGCTGCCCAGGGCACCGTCGTGGACTAGCAGCTCTCCTGAGCTAGGATGAGAAGTTGGGTGATGCCAAGGCCCTTTTCTGCCCAAAGCTTGGAGCAACCCAGAATCAGGCCCTGTGTCTGCACTCAGAATCAGGACCCCGATTGGCGTTTCTGGGCTCCGCCATAGTGCAGCCCAATATGTGAAGGCAATATCATTTAATCCTAATAAATGCAGAGTGCACCGGTACAGACTGCTACAAAGGAAAGCCCTGATTGACTTATCAGCCTGTGGGGCCGTGGCATTGATTTCAATGGGGCCAAGGTATCACCCAGTCCATCCAAAATAATAATTCAAGGGGGAATGTCTTTTCCAGCCAGGGTGAGGGTGGGGGGGATGCTGTGAGCCCAGTATAAATGTGCTTCTCTCCCTAGGGAAATACTTTCTAATGCTCTTAGTAGAGAATGGGGCTTTAAAGTGGTCTAACTGGGTTTGCAATTGGGATTGGACTGAGATGGTAAAGAAACAGTTGGTTCCTGCACTGGGAGTGGTGGAGCAAATCCAGTTAGCCGAGTATAAAGCCCTGTCCTCTACCAGGAGTGTTAGAAAGTGTTTCCCTGTGGAGAGAAGCATGTTTAAAACCCACGAGGGTCTCAGCCTTTCTGGCCACCTCTTCTGCTGTCCTGCCCCTTGTAGGGGGAAGAGGAACCTGCTAGTGCTCTTGGCCCCGTGCACCTGGAAAGGTTTAGTTTGGGCTCCAGAGGATCTATTCTTTGCAGGTGGCAAGTCTGTTTGCTCTCACGTTGGGCACCCGGTGCCTGTGGAGACTGGGTAAAGATGCAAAGAGGGAAAACCCCTGGGGCAGGTGGAGGAGATGCTTGTGGGCTGGGCAGCTCCGAGGTCCAGAGGGGCCTGGGCTGGCATCAGCATGTTTCTGCAAATGATCATTATGGAGAGACAAAAAACCCCAAAGGACGTATTTATCTAGACAAAATCAAGACTGTGTACAAGTGCCCGGAGACAGGAGCTACAAACTGTCCTAGGGACCCGCGGGGCCACTGAGGCCTCTCCTCTCCTGGGCACGTCCCAGCAGGAGGTGACAATTCGATGTGGCCATCGCTAAAAGGAGCTTAACGCAGAGAGATAGGAGAGTGGGGGGTCCCTGGGAGACAGCATGTGTGTGTGGGTGGGATGGGGTGCAGAGGTACAGCCTTGGGGTGCCCTGAGGTCTGGGTTCCTCCATCCCAGCCCCATCTGGGTTTCTGTCCCAGCCCCCCAGAGAGGCAGCAGAGGCTGGGGCCAAGACTCCCTGCAGCTGCGGGTGTAATCAGACCCGTTGTGTATCCACCAGGGCCCTGCTGCCGTGTTTGCCCAGCGGAGGGGTAAATACAGCCCGGGTTGCAGCTGGTTTTCTGTAAACAGACAGCCTGCCATGGGGTATACACTGTCAACACAGATCCTTATCAGCTGCAGCCTCCATATACACACAGGGCAATCCCTCCATCCCTGCTTCCCCTCCCTCTATCCATCCCTCCACTCTTGCCCTTCCTACCCCGCTCTCTCTTTCTCCCCTTTCCCATCCCTCAGATCCCTGCCATTTCAGGACACAGACTCCCACAATCTTCCAAGCTGGGAGTGCAGCAAAGCTCTTGTTTCAGGCTCTCAGCAGACTCAGGCAGCAGGTCACTGGGGAGCGCGAAGAGGCTGATGCCATCCCCATCCCCTGAGCACTTAGGGATTAATTCTTGCTCTCTTGCTGCCTCTAGTGTGCCCATGCGGGGCCGGTGGGGCCTGCACTGTGACGGGGGAGTGCTGCCATGAGGAGTGCCTGGGGGGCTGCAGCCGGGCACGGGACAGCGGGGCCTGTGTGGCCTGCCGCCACTTCCGCTTCCAGGGACGCTGCCTGCCCGCCTG